GAGTGGGGAGGGGAAGACAGGAGCATATGGAGCCCCAGAAGTGAGGAGGTCCCAGGACTGTGGTTTCCAGGTTTGGGGAGTGCCTGCCCTGGGTGGAAGGGAGGACAAGACCAAGCCCCTCTCCACCTATACATTTGGTCAGCACCAACCTCAAGCATCAGCGTCTGGCAGTGGAACTGTTGTCTAGTTACGGGCTTCCTCGCCCCTCATCCTCGCAGCTCGTGGACACCTGGTTAGCTTGCCCTCAGGAAGGCTGCCTCTCACCTGGGCAAAATGTGGGCCTGAGCCAGTTTAATTCTCAGGATCAGTAATGACCTTCTGGTGAAGGTCAGGGATCCTCTGGCTGTAAGAACATCAAAGGTAGACTTAGCTAGCTTGCATCTGCTTTTGACCAATTCTGACTGAACTGTGGGCCTCGCTGTAGGGAAGGCATTCGGTGGCTTGGAACAAAATGTTTTGTTAAACAAGCTATGATACAATGTCATTGGTGAACTTACTCACTTCTATTAATCTCATTTCAAGTTACAACAATGCGAGCCTTGTTTTCACACCTCTATTTTTAACTAAGGAAAATTTATTACAAGGAAATTCTAATTATACCCTTTAGAATAAGATATAATTGCAAACCCACTGGAGATGTTCTTTTTTCAAAATGCCACATAATCACATAAGAAGCAAAGAATGAAAGTTTTCCTGAAATAGTCTATAAATAAAATCCCCCAATGGGCTGAGCAAACAGGTTTTCTCTTGCACATTTTGTATTAAGTCAAATTAATCCATATTACAATCCCTGTGAGTAAAAAAGCCTTGTTAGACATAGAATATTATATTTTGTAAGCATATCCTAAAAATGCTGGCTAAGGCATTTCCACAATGCCAGGACTGGCAGGTAGTGATGGAAAGCCTGGCATCGGGCAGGTGGAGGAGGGGGTGGATGGCCTTGTCCTGGCCTTTAAGTGAGCATCCGACCTTGAATCAGCTCCACTTCCACTCAACCTGGCTTTGTCCTCTCCCCACAAGAAGGTATGGAGACTCCACCTGGTGCCCTAAGCCATCCAAGGAGCCAATGGCAGATACTCAGTTTCTTTGTGACTCACTGGGCAGCCTTTAAACAGGGCTCTTAGCCTTGGTCCCACTGACATTTGGGGCTGGATAATTTGGGATTGTGAGAGGCCTGTGTGGTGCATTGTAGATTTTAGCAGCAGCCCTACTCTCTACTCCTAGATGTCAGGAACCCCTGCCCAGTCGTGGCAATCACCATGCCTCTGTTGTCAGCTGCGTCGAGTCAGCCTGACCCACACAGGCCCTTGCACCCTGGAATGAAAGGCTGCCCGGTCCTGCAGCACCCCTGTGACTGATCACAGATCACACTGCTGTGAGTCACTGCAGAGCACGGGCTGGTTTTCAGAGGCAGAGTTCCAGCCCTTTCTTCCCAGCCCACCTTAGTCTGGAAGGACCACTGAGACCTGGTGCGCTCCATAGCACCATGCAAGCCTCTGCTGACAGACTGGTGGTGGCTGTGCGTGAGGTGCACTGGCCGAGAGTTGAACCTGGGACCCGCGGGAAGGTGGAACCTACCACTGAACCACCAGTGCAGTCAGATGTCTCCAGACACTGCCAAGTATCGCCTGGGGACAGTATCAGGAGCAGACACAAGTGGGCCCAGGTGGCCATGGAGGCAGGGGCACAGCAGGCAGGCTCTACTGGGGCTGGACGCATACTGTAGCTCCCCTCCAATGCCAGGGGTCCCCCTCTCCTGGAAGGAAGAGGAGAGGCACTCCTTTATTAACCACTGACTCTGCCTGGCATGACTTTGTTGAAGTGGACAGTTGGTAGACTTCTTTATGCTGCTTTGCTATTGTAGATGCATCTAGAAATCTCCTTCTAAAGAACTTAAATCTTTGCCACCGGAAGAAAATGTTTGGCCCAAACGTAGACAGTCCAACACTGGCGTCTTCTCCCCCCATGCCCAGGTCTTGCCTGGGAGGAGGCCAGTCTGTCCTGTCCTCATGGACATGACCTGCACTGAACTATTGCCCCTCCACTGGGCACTGACTCCCCTCTGACCCAGACAGCCCAACACGTGTGCATCACCTGGCCCCACTGTGTGGGCCTTGGTTTAGTGCTGCCTCTGTGCTGTGGGTGTGTGTGTGTGGGGGGGGAGGAGCATCTCCGGGCTCCTTCTCTGCTCCCAGGAAATGAGGAGCCCGGCCAATGTGGGTACCCGGTCCTGGAGCTCTGCTGCAGTTCCACTCACACGCATACCTGTCCTCTTCCATTCCTGAGAACAGGCAATGCACTCAGGGATTTCCTCCCAACCTCTGGCCACAAATGCAACAAAACAGTTTGCCTCCCAAGAGCGTTCGCAAAGCACTGGGGCAAAGCTCCATTTAAACATTGCTGTCTTTGCTGGGTCAACCTCCCCAGGCTTTACAAGGGTTTGGAAGAATTGCTGCTCCCTCAGGGTCTTCAAAGGTTGGGTTTCCAAGGTGTGCCAACTCTGTCTTCTGTCCCTGCAGGACTGAAGGCCATGAGAGTTCAGAGCCAGAGGAAGTGGAGAGAGAGGACACAGCCGTGAAGACGCCTCCACCCCAGGTCCTCCTGCCCCTGGAAGAGCGGGTGACGCACTTCCGTGACATGCTGTTGGAGAGAGGGGTAAGGGGCTCCCACAGGCAACATGGGCAAGAGAGCAAAGAATGCTGTCCTCTGGAAGGGTTGGAGGATCATGCCCACTGCCAGCTGAGGAAACTTATTCTTGTTCTCCCTTACTGAATTCCTGTAATGGAGTCAGGTACCAGATGACTGGAGGCCAGAAGAGGAGAACAACATGGAAAGGAGACAAGGAGCGTGCCGAAGGGCTTTGCAATTGTGGGGCACAGCTGTCCTCATGAATGTGGAATGATAAGCATGAGTCTATCTAGAAGGGGAGTCATGGGATCACGGCACAGTGGATTCGCTTGTCTCCTATGATTCCTTCAGAACCAGACCAGGTCACAGTATAAAACCAAGACAGAATACTGGTTGGTACTGGGTCAACTCCCACTCCTGGTGTCCCCATGTGTGTCAGACTCCATAGTGTTTTCAGTGGTTGACTTTCTAGAGTAGATTACCAGGCCTTTCTTCCAAGGGGCTCCCGGCTGGACTTGAGTCTCCAACCTTTTACTCAGTGGCCAAGCACGGTATCCGTTCGTACCCCCTGGGACTCCTGGGGTTACTGGGTACCTGTCTCAAACAGCCATCTCACCCCTGGGGGGAGTTAAGCGCAGACAGAGTAATTCAGCTATTTTCTTCATAAATTAGGGTATCTTCATGGCAATTAAGCTTTCATTTTGAAATTAGGGAAAAATTCATAATCTTACCTCCTTGCAGAGCGGTCTATCTCCTGCAAGTGGCTTTTGGGTGTAAAATAAGCAGACATAATACTTCAGCCCAACTGGATTTCTTCACACAAAGAGAGCAAATGCAGAGGTAGTAATGGGACCCTACAGGAGGTGATAATTATAATGAAGCTGGAAATGGCCTTGTGAATTCAAAAGCAAATTCCCTCACAGCCATCACCCCACCCCAGGCTGGGAACAGTGGCATGGGGGTGCCTAGGAGGAGAGAGCCAGGGAGGAGCTGCCCAGGAGAACCCAACCGCTCCCAGAGGGGGCGTCAAGCCCAACTGCCTCAGAGCTGAGGCTGCAGCCTGGACCTGTGCTGCGCTAGACCCACCCACCCTCCATGGGATACGCTGTCCCAGTGCGCTGTGAAGTTCAACACACGCCTCTGGACATGTCTTTACCCATTCACTAAAAAAAAAACAACAACCCATAGCCTCAAGGAACTAGAATGAAAACCAGATTTGTAAACTTGAAACTACAATGCATTGTGTTGAGCCGCAATCATCATATATGGCAGATAACTCAGAAATACATCAAAGGGGGTGACACGAACACACACACTCATATACATGGACATACTCCCACACATATGGTCCTCGATATGGGTGGCTGGCATTTTTTTATAGAAACATGATTTTAAAGACTGACTGTGTCCCCGACATGTCCAGCCCCACTTTGGATCTTTTTCCAAGCTCTAGGGAGATCTGATTACGGCTCGTGCTGACCATGGAGCCCCCTGTGGTACAGTGCATGCATCCGGTGCGCTCCCACCTGTTGAAGACACTTGACACTGTAGGTGGAAGAGGCCGATGAGCGCTGTGACCTCCTCGGTTTCCATCTCTGCTGCCCTGCGGCACTGCCGTTAATGACTTCTGACTTTATAAACTAAGCCGCAGATTTCATAGTGTTCAGGCTCGTGAAAACGTTGATAGCTAAACCCATAAGATGTCTTGTTGCTTAGAGAATGTGGCCAGGCAGGTCAGCTTTTCTTGGACCCGGTGATTAATGCTGTGTTTTAGTGCATTTGTTCACTACTTCAGTTCTGCAATTCATATGCTTAAGGAATGAGGAAGCGGGGTCCCAGGGATTTCTAGTAGTTGAGAGGGCCATGTTCTGGAATGTTCCATGGGAACTGTGAATTGGGGGAGGGTCAATGGTCTTGTGGCTTTGTTGTATGTCCATGATGGTTTGAGGGCATTTTTTTTAGGGTTTTTTTTGCTTCATTTTACTATTACAACTGCAATGGGACTTCAGTCTATATGGAGTAGGTTTTATGGACTAACAGGTGGTTGGTTTAACATGCTGTTTAGACAAGTGCATTAGGGATCATTTATTCTGAATGTTCTCCTTCTCTAAAGTATCCCGTGGAAGTTGGTAAGGTTTACCCAGGGGCCAGAGAAGAGAAGTTCTCTTGAGAGCTCCAGTCTGGACTTGGGAGCTCCAGGGGCTATGCTGGTGCTCTCTCAGGGCGGCCTGTACAGGGTCATTGGCCAGCTTCCGGTAGCAGTCAGATTCGGGAGGTGGCACTGGGGCCTGTTACCCAGGAAAGCCTCCTGGGAGCTTGGATCTGCACTGTTGGAATGAGAGAGTCACAGACCACACACCCCATCAGTGTTCACCCTGACCCTGCCTGACCCCAGATGCCCCCCAGGAAGGCTTTGTCCAACCCTCTGCTCCCCACCCTGTCTCCCACAGGCCCTAATGATGCCAGTGCTGCTGAACCGGGGCCCACACTCACAAATTATCTGACCCTGAAAGCAAAGGTTGGTGAGCTCAGCCAAGGCCCTGCTTCAGGTGGCCCAAGGGGACTCCCCTGTGGTTGAGCCTCTGTCACCTCCACCTGCCCCAGGGTCTTGGTGCCTCTCAGAGCCCCTGCACCTGTGTCCCCCACCCCCACCCCCACTCAGGTGAGAAGGGGTTGTGCTTCAAATGCCCAGATCAGCACTTAATTCCCCCGAAACCGAGAGAGGCAGGAGAGAACAGAGAGGGCAGGAAGGGGAGAGGGCCTGCAGCAGATGCTGGTGGGAGGTGCTGTGATGCACATGGGCTCGGAGAGGAGGGCCTGCCAATGGGGCAGGGACGAGGAGGAGGAGGAAGACCCCCCGCCCAGCCCGGCTCTGTCCAGAGTCAGCGTGGGCTGCTCTCAGCACCTTCGTGAAGTCTCCTTGTCTGTTGTCTGGTTCTTGTGTTTCAACACAACAGAACATGGCCACACATAGGGCTTTGTTCATCTGTCTCCACTAATTGTTATGGATTAAACTGTGCCTCCAAAAAGATCAATTCAAGGTCACCTGTGCACATGAGTGTGTCCTGGTGAAGGAGTGTAAGGAAGGAAGCAGGAAGGACAATGCAAATGACTGCCGCGCACTGAACTGTGTCCACCAATGTACACTGAGACCGTCCCCCGGCACCCGTGAGCTGCTCCCGTTGGGAAGCAAAGGCTTTGATGTGTCATCAGTTAGGTAAACCAGAGGTCACCATGGAGCAGGGTGGCTCCTGACCCCGTCTGAGCCGTGTCCCCTTAAGAAGAGGAGAAAAGACATAGAGGGAAGACAACTGTGGGTACAGAGGAAGAGACTGGTGTTGTGGTACCGAGGAAGACCATCGTGGCCAGCACAGAAGCAGGATGCCAAGGAAGCCATTGCAGCTGGCACAGAAGCCAGGCAGAAGCAAGAACAGGTTCTCCCCGGGAACCTCAGAAGGAACCCGCACAGCCAACACCCTGCTCTTGGACCCAGGCCTCCAGAATGTGAGACAGTACATCTCTGTTCTTGCAGCTGCCCAGGAGACCAAGATGCTCAGGGACACCTGAGGGGCACCAGGACCAACAGCCCCCTGCTGCCACCACAGGCTCTGTGGGAAAGGGTCCAGCTGCTCTCTGTGGGGCTTTGACAAGTCACCAACCCCAAGGAGCAGGTCCGCCCACTGAGTCCACGTTCCGAGCTCCTCTGCCATTTAAAAGTACTGATGAAGTTGGAGGATGTGCATTTGGGGAATCAAATCTGGGCAGAAGCACTAGCTTACAGAGTAACTGTGTTTATGTGGAGGTGAGAATTAGGCCCATGCAGGACACTTGGAGAATACCAAGCTCAAATTGACCGGCGGGGATAGCCACTGCTCTCTTAGGCTGGTGAGAAAGCAGAGACAGGAACCAAGGATGTGGAAAGGTGCATGAGGAGGAGTGGGTACAGACAGACCAACAGACAGGCACAACTGTCCCTTGCATTTCTGCAGATACACACAGAGCAGTGCTTGCCGGGTCTGCCCCTGACCTGCTGCTAGAGACACGTATGCTCGGCACTAATTGGAGGACACAGGCTGGATTAGTCACTCCCAAGAACAAGTCTAATAGAGGTCAGAAAGTTCCTTTCCCAATTCCAAAGCTGGCAGGTGCAACCCACAGGATGGCCTCATGCCCTTTCTCTAGCCATTCAGCTCCCAGCCTCCCCTGTGGTTCAGGGACTTGAAAAGTACTTGAAAGGCCTTTGGAGTTGGAGGACACAGACAGTGCCTGCCTTCTCATCCATTCCACTCGTGGAGTGGTGGCCTCAGCAGTGAAGATGCCTTCTTTTGGGGACTCGAGGACTCACATGAACTCACGGTTCAGCCGTAATCTGACTGTGTCATATGGTCCTACTGGGACTGAGTCCACTGCTGTCTGAACTTGTATGGCCCCTGGAGCCCACAAGAGCTTTTTCTCTGTGTGGGGAAGAAATGAACTTGCACCAGGTGCTTCTTGCTTGTGGTTATAAGTGGTCCCCATCCCTTGATGATGCTTCCTCTTTATGCACAAGCAGGTTGTCCCCTCTCAGTGGACGGTGTGGCAGTGTTTCCAAGGTAGGTGGCCCTCACCCATTACCCCAGCTGAGCAGACTAGCCTTTGAGGTGGGGCATGCTTTGGGGTTCTTCCCAGGTACAGAGTCTGCTCCACCTGGTGGTGATACTCAGGAAGGTGGACCCTGTCAGGTAGCCCAAAGCTCCACCTGGCCAGGGAAGCAGCAAAGCTGGGTGGTGGCGGGGCCAGACCACAAGAGCCCTGGTGCCCACTGGCCAGCTGACCAGCGTGAGGGCTTAGGAAAGAGAACTCCTGGCCAGATGCTGTGCACAGAGGGGATCTGATCTGGAGGAAGGAGCAGTGGTTTGGAGGTGTGCTAGTTCAGGCAGGAGAGGACCTGCTGCCGTGATGAGGCGACTGTCGTCAACACTGTAGTGACGAGGTGGACCTTTGGATACTTGCCCTGGAAAAGCACTTTTGTGTTTTCACGGGTCCCCTCCATTGGGCGGACATGGAAACCTGCTCTCACAGAAGGGCCTTGCTAGGTCTCGATGGAGGGGCTCCACTTGCCCTCCTGAGATGCCAGTCTACCCCACCAGCCATCTTCCCAGGGAGGGACATCTGTGTGTTCAGACATGCCCCAGAACACACCGCTGGCAGCCCAGCCAGGGCCTGGGATGGGCCTGGGGCATGGTGCTCCTGGCGCTTTACAGTTACAGCAGCATCTGTCAAACGTGGGAGGCCTCCCAGGCCTTTGTCCTCATGGCGCCCTCCACTCTCTCTGGGCCTTTGTTCTCAACACCAACTCTGCTGTCTTCAACCACAGAAATGCAAGGGAGTAGCCAGCAGTGCACAGGCCAACAATGAGAGAAAGAGGAACTGGCCGGCATTTCCAGGAGAGGGGACAGCCCACAGCAGGAGCGCGAGGACGAACAAGGAAGATGGGTGTGATGCTGGGGCAGCCTGTGGTGCCCCACTGTCCCTGTGCTTGCTGTCCCTACAGGGTGGGGTGACAGCCAAGCAAAAGGGTTAAATACAGACAGTGCTCTGTCCTGCTCCACAGAACCCTCAGAGAGTCTGTTAGCATGGCTGCCATGTAGCATGAGGTGACATCTTTTGTATTAATAGGGTTTCTTCTCAACCCACTGGTGGAGTTAGTTCTGTGAGGCCAATTCTTCATCATTCTCTGCCCTCCCCACAGGGCTGGGCCCTCCACAGTGCTTCCAGGTCCCGCCCAGGTGGAGGGCAGCCCATCTCATTGAGCAGTGTTGGGGCTTGCCACAGCTTCTCTCATAGAGCTCATGTGGTCAGCTGACTCCATCAAAGAACAGCACACTCATCTGACTGGACATTTTCCCGAAAGCCACCCCTCCCCCAGTCCCTGAGGGATAGCAGCATGTGACCTCCCTCCCAGTCAACTGAAAACCACCCAGTTGGGTCCTGGGTCATCCCAGACAGGGCACTAAATCACTCAAGGATTTTAGTTTTGATTATTGAAGCTAGAAATGATCAATTTAAAACATCCCATCTGGTTTGATATTACCAAATAAAGCATATGTTTATTCAAATATCACTTCTACCAGGAATATCATCATCTGTTTAAAAGTAAGAATGCAATGGGGTTTTGATTTTACGAGTGGCCAGTTAGCTTCTCCTCCTCCCATCCCACCATCTACTAAGTCCCCCTTCCCCCAATCCTAGGAATCCTCTCCCTGCACAGGCCCAGTGGCCCTCCTGAAAATGTACACCTAGCCCCTCCCTTCCCATTGCTCTTTTGGTAACACTCATAAAGACACCTTGGGCACCTTCACATCTGCTCTGCGGTCTCTCCGGCCTGTTCCTCCTGGCCCCTCCATAGGCTCCTTCATCCCCAGCAACCATGCTCAACCCCTTCAGTTCCCACAAGTCCCCAAGTTCAAGAACCCCACCCTTTGCAGCCATGGAGAGCCTGTCTTGGAAATCCTCCCAGTTTCTTCAAGAGCCATGATGAGTACCATTCATCCCATGTTCAGCTGTCTGGAAACCATTTCCCCAGGCTGACATAGAAACCCTTCTTCTGAGAGCCCTGAGCTCCTGACATCTCTCTAGAAAGGCACAGATACCCTGTCAGGAGACCCTTATTCAGGCAGCTGTCCTCCTAGACCATGCACTTCCTGGTGTGGGGAATAGAGAGGTGGGGTGACTAGAAGGCCTTGATTCGCTTTTTCTGAATTCCCAGCCCCCAGCATGAACCCAAAGACAGTCCATATTTAGTCAATTATTGTAAATAGATTAAATATTACCTTGGTCTGTCAGCTAAGACAGTGCAGCTAAGCCCTAGTAGTGCTGAGCAAACCCAGTCCCAGAACTTGTTCTTAAAAACATTCTTCAATAAAGAGAACTAAGGCTCCTTGGAGAAATGATTGATTCTAAGGCTGGGGCAGAAAATATGTAAGATAAGCCTGGAGCATCTTGTAGCAAGCACCAGGGGGTACGGACATGCTCAAAGAACAAAATGAGGGGGGTTGCCAGAGGGGCATAGAGGCCAAGTGAGAGCTCCCGAAGGCCAGAGATGAGACAATTTTCACAATACAGATAAAGAAGGATTGGGTTGTAACCCAAGGTATGAAGTCAGTATCCTTGAGTCCATACTGATAAATAAATGATTGAGTGAATAAACATATGTGGAAGGCAGGGCAGATCTCTCATCTAGAATTGCAAATAACTTATGCTGATACCCCATCCCTGATGAGGGGAGTATAGCTCCCACCCCTTAAGTATGAGCTAATATAGTGACTTCCTTTCAATGAGTGCAATGCGGAAAGGGGGAGGGAGCCACTTTACAGTGAGGAATTCTGACAGGCAAGACCTCAGCCAGGTGATCAAGGTCAATACCCACAGTGATAAGTCCTGTTGATGGACCTTCGTACAATGTGATGAGACGGGCTCTCCACTTCTGTGGTCTTCCTCCCCCAAGCCCATAACCCCAGTGTAGAAAAATGGGAGCTCATGAGAAAAAACACCAGACCAGCCCACCTCAGGGACAGTCTATGAAACACCTGACTAGTCCTCCTCAAGGATGTCAAGGGCATCAAAGACAAGAACTGTCTAATAACCTGTCTCAGCTAAGAAGATTCTAAAGAGCCATGAAGACTAAATGTCCTGGATGGAATCCTGGGACAGAAAAGGAACATTAGGTAAAAGTAAGGACATCTGAATCAAGTAGCTAATACTAGTTCATCAGTACTGGTTCATTGGTTGTGACAAGTTTTTGTTGTTGTTATGTGCCGTCGAGTTGGCCCCGACTCATAGCGACCCCTCCTTGGGTTTCTGAAACAGTATCACTATGGAAGTAAATTGCCCCATCTTCCTTCCGAGGAGTGGCTGGTGGGTTTGAACTGCCAGCCTTCTGGTTAGCAGTCAAGTGCTTTAGGCACTATGCTACCAGAGCTAATACTAGTTCATCAGTACTGGTTCATTGGTTATGACAAGTAGACCCTACTAATTAAGCAGACCTTACTAAAATGAATGTGAGATGTTAACAAGATGGGAAACTGGCTATGTGGTATTACTCTCTGTAATACCTTTGTAGCTTTTCTTTAAATCTAAAACTTTTGTAAATAGAATAGTTTGCTTTGGTCAATGACATACTGAACAGTGTTAAAGTGTTGATTTAAAAAATCAACTAAAATTATGCTAAACAAGACTGTCTGCAAGACACTGCCCTCTGCAATCTAGTAGGCTCCAAAAGATTTTATAAATATAATTTCTCTTTTCAAGACATGACCTTCCGGAACACCCCACTACCACAGATGTAATTAGCACTTCAGAGCTGAGGCACACAGCCCTGGAAGCTACCTAAGAAATGGTGTCTCAAGTCTAGAAATTAAATTTCCTAAGGCTCTAGATATTGATTCACTTGGGGAGTTTGGCATGTGTGACTCTTCTGCACAACACTGCATCACTGAGTCCATTGTGCTGTAATGCTGTTTTACCATTGATCATTTCATCTCCACTCCAGGCTCAGCACCAGAAGCTAAAAGCAACTCTATTGACTATCTTTCTTCAGGTATCAGCATTTTCTACCTGGGAGAAAGAATTACACAAAATTGTGTTTGATCCACGCTATCTCCTGCTAAACTCAGAGGAACGGAAACAGGTAACCCTGCGGCAGAGCGAGACCGTTGACTATAGACATGGGTTGAAATGGCTCTTCATCCTGAAATCATGAAAGCCTGTTCATTGCTGGGGAACAGGTGTTGCCATTTTTCCTTGCTTCAGGGATGGGGGCTGTGGGTTAGGACTCTGGCTTGTGAGCAGCAGCAGTTACAGGTACAGAGGCAAGTTATCTGACCATCATTAACTAGACCACTGGTCATGATCCCATAGACAACTACTTATTTTCAAAAAAGAAAATGCAGGTAGTCCCCGACTTGTGATATGTTCAAGTTATGGCAAACCACACTTAGAACCATCTGTTTGAATTTTTTTACATCTTAATCGTTAGTAAAAATATGGATGGATGTCTTAAAATAGATGTGTAAGTTCATATGTGATGTTTTCTCCAAAGACAAATAAAGATCATATCTGTAAAGACACAGATAACAAAAAAAAAACAAACAAAAAACAAACTCACTGCCATCGAGTTGGGTTTAACTCATAGCGACCCCTCCTTGGGTTTCCGAGGAGGTATCACTATGGAAATAGATTGTCCAATCTTCCTTCCAAGTGGCACATAATAAAAAGCAGTATTAATGAAAAAAAAAAAAAAAAGTTGGGGGAGGATCTTCGACTTATGTCAGAACCAACTTAGACAGAGTCTTTGGATCAGAACACTGTTGTATGTCAGGGAGCACCTGTACACATTTTGGGAACATTAACCACACTCTGGATGGCCATGTTGAAAATAAGAAGGTGTTATAATGATAGTGAGGGAGCTCTGGTGGCGTAGTGCCTAAGGCACTTGACTGCTAACCAGAAGGCTGGCAGTTCAAACCCACCAGCTACTCCTCGGAACGAAGATGGGGCAATCTACTTCCGTAGTGATATACTACCTCGGAAACCCAAGGAGAGGTGGCTATGAGTCGGGTCACATAAGGACAACAACATAATGATAGTGAAACAGGAGAGTCTGGAGAAGAGAAGCAGCAGAACCAAAGGATGGAAGTTCTAGGAGCAGGTCCTGAGCAAACAAGGAGCGGATCCAAGGTGGCTTCCCTGGATGCCATTTTACAGAGAGCTTTCAGTGGAGGTCTTTCCTGAGTGGTTCACACACCAGTCACTAAGCCAATACTGTCTCCCAGGTTAAGTGACAAAGGGCACGTTCTGTGGTCTGGAGAGGGAACTTGGGTACCAAGATGGCATAGTTTGCACAGCCTCTGTCTGCCCAGCCTGGAATCTGAGGGTCTGTGGAGCATATGCAAGGAAGACCTTCCAAACAATTCTGGATGGTTCAGATTACTGCATGTCCAGTTCCTGTCCCTATCGGACCCCTCCTCGATGCTCTGAGTGTAGAAAGACACCCAGAAAGTGGTTCATCAGTAACAGCAATGGAAAACGGACACGCCACAGGAGTGAGTTGGGAAAGGAAGGGCGCCTTCATCATGTGCTCACATAGCATCCATTTGAAGAGCCTGGTGGCGCCATGGTTAAGCTCCAGGCTGCTCCCTGAAAGGTGGGCAGTTCTCTCTCTCAGCAGCTCTATGGGGGAAAGGCCAGATAATCTGCTTCCATAAAGGCTACAACCCAGAAAACCCTATGGCGCAGCTCCAGTCTGTTGCTGTGAGTTGCAAATGATTTAGCCGCACCCAGCAGCAACACCAAAGAGTTGAATAGAGCCTCAGGCTGGGAATATGGAAATTGTTACTTTGTTTTCAGTTCTGTCCTAGGCTCCTGAAGTTCCTTCAAGCATTTTGTCCCATGGTTTGTCCTCGTCTACTCACCTAAATATTGGTCCCACCCACTGGCACTGCATAGAAAGGCCTGGTGTTCTGCTCCAGGAAGACCACTGCCAGGAACTCCAGGGAGCAGGGCCGCCCCGTAACACATGGGGCTCCGTGAGTTGAAATCAACTCAACGGCAATGGGTTTGCTTTTGTGGCTTTAGCAGCTCCCCGGGCAGCGACAACAAAGCACAGCCTCCGTCTCCAGCCCCCTGGCCTAGGGACCCCACCCCCACTCGAATTACCAGATGTCCACGAGGACACACAGGGTTAGGGCTATAGGGTGTGATGAATGGGGTCTTTGGACTTGGCCACATCAAGGATAAAGAACTTGGATTTCCCAAGGACTTGTGCTGGATTACTGTAAGTTTCCTTCTAGCTGAGTTTCATTTTCCAGAAGGAAGCATTTGAAAATATGTGAAACACGTTAGCGATGGCTCAAAATAATCCTACAGTACAAGAAGCTGGGTTGAGGCATTCTCTATATGTTTGTTTTCTGTCCTTGAGGAAACTAGGAAATAGGTAATATTTCCCCTTTTCCGGCAACATTAAAAATCAGAATGTTCGACTATGAAAACACATAGTAAGTGTCTCATTTGTTTATTTGACCAGGTTAATTTATGTCATAGTTTTGACCTACAAACTGGCCAATATTGAATAACAAACAGAAAATCCATTGCTGGCATTGACATCTTTGTAGTCATCAAAATGACTGTCTCTCTACTTAGGTGAGGACTTGGAGGTCATTTGTCCTGTTACCGAGCATTTAAAAAGACCCTCCCATTCCCAAAAAAAGTTCAGCTTATGACTTGGTCTTCTGTGAGTTCCTGCTCGACGCTGAAGTCACGCCTGTGTGTCCCAGGCACTGAGACTGACTGGGGCACAGGATGCTCAGTGAGCTCTATTGAATCGCTTCATCACTAAGCATGGCTCTGCCCTCAGGGCATTTGGTAGACACGGTGACCACCCAAGACGCATGCAAGGAATCAGCATGAGTGGCTGGGGTCAGAGGCTCAGATGGTGAGAGTGTCCAGACCCTGTTGGCCTGGGAAGGACAGTCCGATGCCCACCTGGCTGTGCCCTGCGGATAATCACAGCCTGTGTGTCAGCTCCCACCTACACTGCAGTGTGGGGCAGCCTCCAAACATCCCTGTGAAATCACCCAAAGGAATTACAACATGGTGCCAGAAGGGCCCCAGAGGAAAAGCAGTGTCCTCTGACTGGCAGCGGATCCCCTTCGGCATCCAGAGAAACCTGAGCTAAATACCTGCATTAGAAAGAAAACCACCTTCACCACCAGTCAGCTTCGGTCAAGTTGACCCCAACTCGTGGAGGCCCATGAGTGTCAGAGCAGGCCTGTGCCCACAGGGTTTTCAGTGGCTGACTTTTCAGGGTTGATCCCTGGGCCCATCTTCTGAGGCCCTTCTGGGCGGACTTGATCCCCCAGTCTCTAGGGTAGCAGCCTGAGGCATGAACTGTCTGCATGCTCAGGGAGTCCCTGTAGGAAGCAGCCAACCGGAATGAAAGGAGCAAAGGTTGCAGCTTCTGGAAGGAAGATTCCTAAAGCTGAGCAGATGAAAGAGAGGATAGCTGAAGCCCATCCAAACATCACAGCCCTGTTCATGCTTCGGTGGGTGGCCAGATCTGAACGGAGAGCCTGTGAGAGACCTAAGCACCCAGTGTAGCCACAGGAAAAGCTAAGGCTTATGGTATCGAGACTGTGGCCATCCCTCTACTGAGGGACTGCAGGGGAGCCTAGACACAGAGTCAGGGTCACAAGGGCGCTAATCAGACCTGTTCCTGTGGGAACAAACAGTGTTTCATTTTATTACATCACAACATGTCCTAATGAGATCATGCCCACAAGTCAGGTCAAGTCTCACTTCAGATAAAGCCAGTATAGTTTGTGAAACAGGAAGGAAAAAACAAGGAACTATTACATTCGATTATAACTGCATAGATAAAGTGACAGGGCAAAGGGAAAGAGAGAAAAATATGATTAAAGGCACGAACAATTCTAGCAGAAGTATAAGCCATTATTTCTGGAGAGCTCTGACCCCACAGCTAGCAGGGTTTCAATCAGGATTTAAAATTAATAGCACAAAACTCGGAGTAATGACAGAGCCCCCAGCTTTGATTTGGATCCTAACCCTGTGCACACTTCTTCTATGAGTTTAAATTATAAACCAACTTGTGAGCTTGCGTTAGTGTCTGCCTTGAAGGTGAAGAAAGCCGATCATATTCTTACTTAAATAGATATGCACAGATTCTAAATTTAAGTCATATTCGTTGATATTTCATTTCGCTGCCGGGTCCTCAGGAAGAGAGTGGTGTTTCGTCTCTGTAATCCGGTCAAGTTTTGCCATGACAGAAACAGAAATAACACGGATGGAGAGAGGGTGAGTCCCGTGTGAAAAGGGGTCTCCCTGAGGCTTTAGCCTCTTTGTCTCCTGTTGTCATCCACTTGGTGGGGAGGCTGGAGAGAAGGCCAGCCGCAGTGTTCAGACCGTGATGCAACAGCCGTTGATCACATGGTGTACAATAACTACTCATTGACCTTTCAGCACCACAGGTGGGACTTTACCGACCTCCTGATGAGGCTTGCATTCATTTCAAATGATCTCCAGGCTTATTTTGGAATGCTCTTGAAGTTTGGAGAGTTTTAGGAAGGAAATACCTTCCCCTCACCCACTTTGGGTTGATAGTCTGTAAGGGACCCATTTCCTCACACTGTCGCCATGAGATCTCCTGAGGTGACAATGGAGATTGTTTGATGAACTATTACAGAGAGGTCTGTTACATCAGCTGCCAGTTTCCAAGAGAAAATGGTATGGAGTCTTGAATGGATTTAGCCACCAGAAAATTCCCATACACTTTATGCTTACAAATAGGGCTTTCCTGCTTGGGTTGGCTTTCAGATACACTTCACTTTCAACCAGGGAGAGCAGGGGGCCCGGGCCTGTTGCCAATTTGTCATTTCCGCAAGGAATGCCCCCAGGATCTTCCAGGGCGTCCTTGACCATCCTCAGAAAGGCCACTTTTTGCCCCCCAGGGAGCCCTAGGTGATGAACCAGGTCTCCAATGGGCTTTCCTGAAAATGCATATGTGGCAGTCAAATATGCTTGACTTTTTTGTTGTTGTTTTTTACAAATTGGAGTTATTTTTGGAGAATCAAATGCCAGTGATGTTGCCATAGGAAGAGAGTCGAGCTCAGGAAGTGTTACAGTGTGCCGCTGGCAGTGGACGAGGTGGTGAGGCAACGCAAGCTGCAAACGCTGGTCACTAAGTGTCACAGTGAGACTAGCTGTTACAATGAGACAGAGTGGGGACTTCTGCCCTGCCAACTGCTTTGCATGCCTTCTGTGGGTTGCCACACCATTCCTAGGATTTCCCAAGCAATACCTGTTGTTGACCTTGAACATGCCTGTGTGGGGAGACACATACCAGGTGAACTGATGGAGAACACTTGGCCCCATCAGATGATGTCACACTGGAAGGACTAGCAACTGTAGCTGTAGCATCTGTGAAGCCAAGAGGCTTATCTGAGATAATGTAATGTAGAACTTTACATTATCTGTCTGATAGGCAATTTGGTGATATGTTTCTTTTGTATGTGCGTTTTCAGATATTTGAACAGTTTGTCAAGACAAGAATAAAAGAAGAATACAAGGAGAGGAAAAATAAATTGTTGGTAGCCAAAGAAGAATTCAGAAAACTACTGGAGGAATCAAAAGTGTCAGCCAGGTATGCAGGAAGACACAGCAGGTGGCTTTGGGGTATAATATTTTACTAACTACCATGAGAGAACTTTTAAAGCCTGTTTCCGCTCAGTTCTGTAGGCCAGCATCCCACAGACCCGGAGGTGTCATTTCTACAGACCTGTCAGAGAGAGCAGCCTGTTCTCTCCTTATTATATTCTCAACTGCTGGACTTCCAGCCCGTCACGAGGGGGTCATTTGTTCATCAAAGGCCTCATCATCAGTTTTCCCTGCCTCACGTGGTTTCCCAGTTGTCAGCAGCCCTGCCTTGGTGACTAAATAGCAAATCAATGGCTAGGGCCTCTGGAGGTGGGTTCTCATTTCTCATCTGATTATCAAGGAGTAAAAAGAGGCAAAACAGAAAATAAACAATAACAGCAAAAGAAGCCCTGGGATTCCCTTGGCTCCAGAGGTTTGGCCAGAGGCTCACAAGAGGGTTTTGCACATGGGGGCATTTGAACAGTGTCTGGGTTGTCAAAACCAAAACCAAAAACCAAACTCACTGCCGTCAAGCCAGATCCAACTCATAGTGACCCCTCCTTGGGTTTCCGAGGTGGTATCACTACAGAAGTAAATTGCCCAACCTTCCTTCCGAGGAGTGGCTGTTGGGTTTGAACTGCTAGCCTTCTTGTTAGCAGGCATTTGACCACCAGAGCTCCCAGCTTACCTAAAATAAGAAGGCAGAATTTTCATGAAATAAAACCAAATCATAAGAAAATAAGAGAAATAGGGAAAATGCAAAAATGTACCTTTAAAAAAAATAGCTTTCACTGACTGTTTTTAAATAATGAAAAGAGATAGAAAACTATAACTTTTGTAAGTATAAAAATGATTTAATTTGACATATTTTCATATGAGATTGGGACATACAACATTACTTTAAAATGGCCATGAATTGGTGCATTTAGTGAAGAGGCAAACTTTCTTAGTTTGATCGTTAATCCACTTGGTCAATACGTTGATCACTTAGGGTTGGTTATATAGTCTTCACAAACTTCACCAACTATTCAAAGGAGAGATACTTTCCAAAGGGGAAAAAGTAGCATGAATTGTCCTCATCAGGAGGTGCTAGTCCAGAAGAGCAAAGTGGGTTGAACCCCTAGCTGGCCTCCTGTGAGCTTACTTACAAGGGATTCCCTGGCCCAGCAATGATGGGGTCATTCAATCTGTGTTTGAGTGCTGACTACACACCAGCACTAACAAGACATTCAGAATCGTCACTGGAGGACAAAAACAATGTCGGTGCTTATACTCAAATGTGGGGAGGGAGTTAGTTGAGCAAAATTGCACAATGAAAGTGTAATAAGATTATCACTGCGAGGAGAGCTGTGAAAGGGAGATACTCAGCACTGTGGCATGGTCCAAACTTGTAGTTCTGAGTATGTCATCCTGGTGAAGAAATTTTGGGAGGGTGTGCCAGGCAGAGGGAACAGTACACTCTAAGATTAGTGACAGATGTGGTGACAGCAAGGGGATGAAGAAGACCTCCTCAGCCAGAGCAGAGATGGAGTGGTAGGGGGTTCAGAGTGAGGTGAGGCTAAAGAGGAGCGGAGAACAAAGTTGTCTCCAAAGGTCAACCAGATGTAGAGATAAGGGTGGACTGCAGGTTGCGTCTGGACTCTGGTGAGTCCCAGTGGGAGTAATGCCCAGCGTGAGGAGCAGTGCTGGAGGACATGTCCATAACCCAGTGCTACTCACTTCAGCCCCCAGACCCGTCCTTGTGCCCCCATCTTTCCTTGCACCCAACAGCTCAGTTGGTGGACGATCTTTGTGCATCTTGGCCAAGGCTGGTGTGCAGTGTTCAGGGAGACCAGAACTCACTCTCAGGGACCATGCCTTAGGAATATCTTTGTTTTTCAGGACCACCTTCAAGGAGTTCGCTGAGAAGTATGGCCGGGATCAGAGGTTTCGACTTGTTCAAAAAAAGAAGGACCAGGAGCATATTTTTAACCAGTTCATACAGATTCTTAAGAAACGGGACAAGGAAAACAGACTAAGACTACGGAAAATGAGATGAGTTTGTGACAAATACAAGAAGACACATGGGTCAGTGCTGAGTGTCAAGGCAGAGGAGAGAACACGCAGAAGAGGAAGAGTGTGGGCTCGGGGCAATGCTGGGGAGCCACGCACTGCCTCCTGGCCAGGCGTTCTGTGGGCACCGTGGTTCAGTTCTCAGAGGATTACTGTTTCATATTGAAGCTCCCTCTTTTGTATAATGTTCAGAGTTTGATGCGTTTCTAATTGCCATGATATGTCAGTCCCTTAATTGTTTTAATTATGCAAATTACTTGTAATATATACAAATTATAAATCCACGGCAGGTTTGTGATTAAGCAGAAACCAACACCATCTGCAACAATCTCAAGGTGTTTTCATCATGCAAGCTGATTACCTGAACTTTCTTTGAAACCTGTGAGTCACTTCTGCTCTTCAGGAGTTCCATGGTGTTGAGGAGTTCTTTGACCAAGTGTCCCTAGGGCTTGGTCTAGTTTTCTGCGTAGTAGTAGTATGATGTTCATCATCAACCATAGTGACACCATGAACATCTCAACATGTGAGCCATAGAACATGTACGCATTTCTAAGGGTGATTGCCTCATTTCTGAGTGGGTGTCCAGGCCTGGAGAAGGGAGCCCCACTGTTCGTCAGAGGTTCTACATAAAGAACAATTATTTTGTACAAAATCATCATATTAATATTTGAGTTGTTTTTATTGTATGCTCAAAGTTTGCATGAGATTTTTCTCATCATCTTTGTACAAAGAAAAAATTTTTAATTTTTTTTAATTAATAAATATTTTAAACCAATGTGTTTTTGTGGCTAAGCTTCCAACATGATCTTAAGCAGAGAAATTGTGTTTAAGATACTCTTCATTTGGAAATATTCACAAAGAAAATATTTTAGGTAAGGGCTGGGTGAGAGATATATAGGGCATGGTGCTTGGTAAAACAGAGGGCCATTGGGGACAAGGGAAACCTCGTTGAGATGGACTGACACAGTAGCCACAGCAGTGGACTCAGATGTACCACCAGTCTTTCGGATGATGCAGGACTGGGTATCATTCCATTCTGTTATATAAAAGTGGCATGAGTTGGAGCTGACTCAGTGGCAGTTGATAACAACAGTCCTGAAATGAAACAATACATGAAATTAAAAGTTGGGTTGAGTAATTGTATTCTTTAAATTATTGAGCACCCATTTATTAGTTTCAAAATTAATGGAGTCTCTATTCAGATGCAATGTCTTTATCTACTAGCACAGTGGCACAACCTCCCCACCTTCCTTCTCCATGAGTTCCAAAATAAAACAACGCTTTTGCCACAAATATTATAATGAGGCTGAGGAAGTTAGGATTTACTCTTCATGGAACATTCCCTGGTCTTAACAACAACATTTCTAACCAATCATCTCCATGTTGGGCTGCTTCCAGGGGTTCCAGCACCATTGCACAGTGCAAGCTTCTCCCCTTCTGGGGTCTCAGACCCAAGGCACTGGAAGTTTCCAAGATGATGCTGCAGGAACAAGACTCGAGAGAAGCAAGTTCCAATTCTGGATCAGTCAGGGTCCAATCAAGACATAGAAACCATGCTATAATTTGCACAAGGTCATTTTAATGTAAACAAGTATTCAATATAATAGGGGATTAGAGTAATGAAAGCTTGGTGAGTAAGTATAGATAACTCTGAAGAATAAGAATAACAGCTGCAGGGACATTTACTACCCCAATGGTTGACGTGGAGCATCCAAGGAATAATCTTTCCCCACTTCCCTAAGACTGAAGTGCAGACCTCGCTGGAGAGGCCAGCACAGCTGGGGCTCAGTGAATGGCAGAGAGGTCACAGTGGTGCTGCTGCACTGGTGGGGTTTGCTGTCAACCCATCCTCTAGAGTGCTGGACAAGTGTCTCACTAGGTGGGCCTGCTACAGAAACATCTGGGAGTTGCCTGGGCCAGCATAAGTCTGCTGGCCACCGCTGGCAGTCATGCCCTGCAGGGGCTAAGTGCTGAAGAGGCAGCCAAAGCTGCAGGAGCCAGGACTACAGAGCCCTGGGGCTTTGTAGGAGGGTGGTCTGGATTGAATTTTGTCTCCTCAAAATGTGTCAACTTGACCAGGCTGTGATTCTCAGGGGTTTGACAGTTATTTCATGATTTAATTAATGATCCCTCATGATGTGATCTGATGTAATTATCCTCCATTTGTGATGTATTGTAAATCCTGAGCTCATTTGGCTGCTTACCAGAAGACTGGCAGTTCAAATCCACTAGCTGCTCTAAGAGAAGCTCTGGTTGCATAGTGCCTAAGGCACTTGACTGCTAACCAGAAGGCTGGCGGTTCAAACCCACCAGCCACTCTTGGGAATGAAGATGGGGCAATCTACTTCCATAGTGATACTGCCTCAGAAACCCAAGGAGGGGTCGCTATGAGTCAGGTGCGACTTGATGGCACATAACAACAACAACAGCTGCTCTAAGGAAGGAAGAGAAGGCAATATACTTCCATAAAGATTTACTGCCTTGGAAACCCAATGAGAGTTGATATGAGTCAGAATCAACTCCATGGTGGTGGGTCTGTGTTAACGAAGCAGGATTATGTTATGTTAATAGGATTAGGTTATGTTTTTTATGTTAATGAGCCAAGATTAGGGTGGGATGTAACATGCTTACTCAGGCCACAGCCCTGATCAAAAGTAAAGGGAATTTCTCTGGGGTGTGTCCCCAAACACCTTTTATCTTACAAGAGACAAAAGGGGAGAGAAAGGAGACAGGGGAGAGAGATCTCAGTGCCACCAAGAAAGAAGAGCCAGGAGTGAGCAAAGCACATCCTTTGGACCCAGGTTCTCTGCACTGAGAACCTCCTAGACTCAGGCAAAGGCTGATGCCAAGATACATGGAGATCTCCAAGGAATGCCAGGCCCACAGATGCTGAAAGGAGACAAAGACCCTTCCCCACATCTGGCAGCTCTACAGCTGGAGCCCTGAATTGGGACTTCTAACCTCCAAACTGTGAGAGAATGAACTTCTGTTTGCTAAAGCCATACACTTGTGGTATTTCTGTTGCAGCAACACTAGGGAACTAAAGCAGAAAGCAAAACCTTCTGCCACAAGTACTACCCACCTGAAAAGCCACTCCTGCCTTGGTCCTTGCCTTGGCAGGGACTGAAAGCCAGACCACAGAATGAAAAGGAACTGAACACTCAACTATCCACCATGAGCTGTTATCTGATCCACCTGACATAAAATGGGACATGTACAGCAGCATTTCCTTTAAAACACAATCATCTACACAAAACCGAGGCTGAGCAGTTCTGAAACACATAGACGAGATTCAGTCAATATGCCCATCATCCTCGGTGCTCCCCTTACACCCACACCTCTACCCTGGGCTAGAGAAGGTAGGTGAGAGCCCTAAGCACCGGTCCTCTGTGGTATGCCCTTCTCTGCTTATGTTCAAACAGAGTACGTGAGTTATATATACACGTGTGTGTGTGTGTGTGTGTGTGTTAGCTGTCCGTGATGTAATTTCTTTTTAATGTAACTATAATATTAGTGACTGAATGCAAAAGTGTCGTGTTTGGTGAATGTACCTAAAGTAGACTTGACTGCCCACCCCCACCTCTTGTTTATTAGAAAGAAATAGTATACTCCCAAGGCACCTGCTGAAATAAGGAGTTTCACTTACACTGGAGGGAACTGTAGGAAACAGAAGTCAACAAAGGCATTGAGGTGGTAAGGGCCTCATAACTTAAACAATCTTGCATGTGGGTGCCCTTGTTCCCTTGTGTGAACTTTACTGCCAGCTGGCACATTCTCATGCACTGGAGATGGTATCAATTCCATTTGGTGCCCTGCCAGTTCCCTTCTACTGTGGCCCTTACTTTTCCTTGTGTCCTGTCTGCTTGGTGTCTCCAATATGAGTCTTTGTTTGGACACCTGGTACCCTGTTCTGGTGATGTGCTAAGCACATTCTTGCCTCACTTGTTGGATGATCCATCCCTGCCTCTGTCACAGGTTGAGTTCTGTTCACTAATTAGCAGAGGAGGAAAAGTACAGGTTTGGGTCAACAGCTGAGCCTCGTGGTATGCTGGCATGCTGGTTGCAGGGATTGTGCTGCACTGCAGTCCTATTCAGGAGCGGTTAAAGGACGTTCTCTCAGTAGGTAGACTCTGTGAAGGGAAAGATGGCCTGCGGTATGAATCAACGCTGGTTTACAGGCTGGGGTTAATCAGGTAGCCAGCTGGTCAGGGACTTAGAAAACAAGATTGGAAGGTCAGTGGTGAAGAAAGTTAGGGGAGAATTAGGATGTGTCAGGGTGTCAGCTATCAAGGTATTTGTTCTCCATGCATGTGAGGGGACCTACTTCATAAAGATGTCAGATATCAAGAGGGCATGAGGAACAGTGCTGTGGACAACAGCCAGTCTCTTTCTCTTGCAACCCTGATCGATCCTTGATCAACAAACCAACAAGCAAAGTGGCCAAGATCACAGGGATGGAGGATGGGCATGGCTGAACAACTAACCTCATGAAGGCTGGTCTGCCTACTGCCACAAAAGGCCAATGTTGAGTTCCCATTATTCATGGCACCTTTACCAGGCTGATCATATTGGAGTACCCTCATATTGATGGGACAACAATTTCTCCCCACAGAAATACATGCCCCAGATACATGTTTGCTTCCCCTAACTGAAATGCTCTGCCATTATCACAATCCATAATTTTATTAAAAGACTGACTTTGATGCAGTGAATTGGTTGGGTTAGGGTTAGGGTTAGGGTTAGGGTTAGTCTAGCTCTTCTAGCCATGGTCTTTGTGACTTCTACCAGATGACTGGGTGGAACTATATGAGTTGCTTGTGGCCCACCAGCTGGATTGTTTTTGTTGTTGTTGTTATGTGCTGTCAAGTCAGACCTGACTCATAGTGAAGCAGTATCACTAAGGAAGTAGATTGTAAATAAGTTACATGGAAACTTGTGTGGATAGATCAATGTAAATAAGGTGTATAGAGCCTTAAAGTGGGGATT